GCCTATTTTCAGCTCTATGCGAATTTTGGCTAAGTTATGACTTTTTTTGTCTATTTCGACTGGACTATAATACTTTCACTTCACGCTGGTCTTGTCAGGCTCTTCCGAGTATTCAAATTCGTGCAGCATCAGAACCTGTGCTGTCCACCACAGTAAAGTGATTGCAATGTAACCACACCATCAGATAGAATGGCAGACATGCACTGGCCAGTTTTTTACAAAAACAAAAAAGAGTAAACTGTTAGACGAAGTAAACTGTACGTTTAATTTACTCGTCAGGTGAGAGGCAAAGGAATAAGGGCAGCACTCGAAGGATGCTTTCGAGCCAATTCCGCACGATTACATTTTCGTTCGGGTCCCGGGAAGGGCGTTTAAAGCCAACAAGAACGCACCGCGTCTGTAGATAGAGCGCGCAAAGCTGCAAATAATAAAGCGTGGAGAAACGCGCCGCGGACGGACGCGCGGAAGTCAGTGTCTTTACGTCGATCGGCAACAAAGTAGTCTTGGGACGTCTCCTGCGGTAATATCGTGTTGCGACCGCACCACGGCCGTATTTAGCTTTGGCCGTAATAGATTTGAAAGAAGACCGGCCTGCCGTGTCACTTCTTAAAGGAATAACTGTAGGCTTTGCTCTTAATAACACGCGTGCATAATCCACAGTTTTTTTATGTGGGAAAGTGGCAAACGAGCTGGCGGTTCACCTGATGTTAAGTGATTACCGACGCCCATGGACTTATGCAACACCCGTTGGGTTGCAGATGCGTTGCCACCTTTTAACGTGGGCCTCACCAAAATGAAGGAAAAGATAAACAGAAAACTCGCTGACAGGTTGAGGCTCTGGGAATCGACTCTTCGACCTTTAATTTCAAGGGAGATAATATGAACGTTGTTTAATTAGGATTTCTGACTTCAAATATGTCAATTATCCAGACTTATGAGTCAGGATATCACATGTAATTAAGATTTCATCAGCTATATTAACATTTCAATTTCAAGAGTGAAAAATCTCACTACTATGTGTGTAATGAGACGTCTCATAACACGTAGTACGTCAGATCCTACACTAGTTCGACAGATACGAACACTAATAAGACATACGATAATACCATTATCTTCTCTGTTTTATATTTTATTATAAAAAGGTAGTTCGAAGTAGTCAAACATGTCGCTCTAATCAGGGTGAGACTGAGTAGCCATTGCATTTCTCTATTTGCGAAGTTTTATTTTTATTTAAAAAAAGATAATTTAGCGACGGGCACATTATAATATGGATAATTTAGCCGAGGACGGTCCAGGTTCCAATTCCAGTTCGCGTACTACCAATTATTTGTTTTCTAAAATATTCTCGGTAAGAATAATTAGGTACCGCTTAGCGTATTGCTGATGTCTATAATTTGCGCGTACACCAGTAATGAGGTCCCCTCGGGGTCCACCTTAGTGAAACGGGTACCTAAGGGAAAAAAACTAGTTTGAACACTACGGGCTGTTTGCGCTGCACGGTCTGGTGCAACTACGAAATCTCGATCTACTCTGAGCGTACTGGCGATATTTTTATAGGTATTTCACGTATTTGAATATCGCCCTCAATCAGCCTTTGTGTGAGTGTTCGTTCGAGTTACGTTACGAGGGCATCTGGTAGGGGTTCGCTCCTATTCATGCATACACCCCAGGCGGCGCTCGGCCATACGTATCGTGCATCGCAATGAGCCATTATTCAGCACCGATGCCAATTGAGATGTAGACAAACTTCTGGGAATGAACGCGGTAGGTTGATAATAGACGGGGTGGTCGGTCAACAGAGACGTGTCGCACTCGAACGCCACACGAAAATATCATGCGTATGCATTTACGTCACACTTTTTCCAGTCCTCGCGGCTGGTCAGACGCCCCGGAATCCTGTTTGTGCGCCGTTTACGCGCTGACTCAGAGTCGGTTGCGGAGGTTGCGGGGAACGTTACTGTAATTCCGAATATTAATCGGCGTTCGTCTGCATTCTCGCAAGAGCGTACGCGCGTTATAAAGATGCAGGAAGTGTACGAGTGGCGCTATTGTCTCTAGCGGTCTTTGATGGTAGCCGGTTGTCTTCAATGAGATGTGATATACGTTAGTCGTGATCTCGAGGATTCGTATTAATTCGACTTAACTGTGGTGGGACCACGCAACAGTGTTCGCTATTGCACGAATAGTACCACGACCTCACAGAAGACCGGCGTAAAGTACAAGTGTTACACTTCTGCGTTTCGTCTGGTAAGTGAGGTAGCCGGGGCCCGCAGTATAAAAGGTGGCAATACATCAGCAACCGGTGTTGCAAATGTCCGTGGGCGGCGGTTTTCACCTAACATCAGGTGAACCGCTAGCTCGTTTGCCACTTACATAAAAAAAAGCACCGACTACGCTCCGATCATCCACGTCGTTGGAGATGTGTTTGATACCCGCTGTATGGATATATGTCTACTATTTAGGAATTGCGATAATAGATTAAGGAAGCTTGCTTCGCTTCACCCTTTATTATGAGCACGGCAAGAGTATGGAACCATCTGCCGGTATTGTCATTCCAAATATAATGACAAGCGGTAGAAAGCTCTAGATAAAAAAACTCTTCCACTACATAGTAAAAGAAAGTAACAGCCTAAATGTCCCACTGTTGAGCAAAGGCTAATCTGTACAGAGGGTATCAGGGCATAGACCACCACGCGGCCCCACTGCGGATTGGTACATTTCACATCTATGAAATATATTTTTTTTTATTTCGAAAATGTGCAGATATCCTCACGATGTTTTCCTTCACCGCTGAGCTCGTGATAAATCAGCACCGGTGATCGAACTCAGGTCGCTGAATTAAATTAAAGGCGAGCGCCCGGACACTGAGCTATCACGGCTATTCCAATACATGATCGTTCGAATTAAAATTTAAGTACACATTTTAAACCGACTTCAAGAAAGGAGGAGGTTGTCAATTCGGTGGTATTTGTTTTTTCTTTGTTACTTTCGAATACCGTCTTACTTTATTAAATTTCTTATTTTAAAAATTGTTTTCGCGTTGGGTGCGGCATACTTACCATGATGTCCCATATTTTATAATTCATTTTTATTGGGCCTTGGAATCCAAAGATAAAATTAAATAAAAAATGTATAGTGAGTGAGATATTTGAAGATGTTTATGTTAATAAGAATTAAAATGTACTTGTTCAAACACATTCGCAACGCGATGGGCTGGCAATATTTTTATTTTTATATTTTTATATTGTCGTATTATATGTCATAATTATTTTAATATTTTGACTTTTATAATTTTACGTAGTCTTTTTTACTTTTATTCTTGCTGTTAGGTACACCTATCTCTTGTATCTCCACACCACCTAATAGTTTACTGGTAGATAATGCCTCACGCTTTAAGCCCGCTTATACACAAGATTTAAATAAAAGTTAAAAAAATACATAATTTTCGATGGTACCTTAACAACACTACAAAACAAAGTTATGCAATTCTCTAGGCACAGTTGCTAGGCGAGGCTTTAGCGCCGGCCGAGAATGATAGATGCCTTGTCTGTTGCTAAGCGAGCGATGGAGAGCCGATTACTAAGTAGGTATGACATAATAATTAATAGTCATGCTCGTTACTATACCAGCCCGTATAAGAGCGTGCCAATACCTATAAATGTATTACAATATATATAATAAACCTGCTTGCTACATCCTTCGTATAGTAGAGGTGTTTTAGCGGCTATTAAAAAAGCAATAAATATGTTTTAAACATTTCATTTTGTAGAACTGTCCAGGATTACACTGAAGTTTAAAATTAATGAATTATATCTGTTAGTTGTTTAATACAAGACACACTGAATTATTTAATGTATTAAATTTCATTAAGTTATTTATCGAAAGTTGTAATTTTCAAGCTTTGCATGATAGGAAATTATTGATTCGTAGTTCACACAATTAGTTTTCAATTTAAAATGTAACACATCGCAGATTAAGAGTTGTCTACTGATTCAATTTCGCATGGTATTCGCCAAGCTTCACGGTTGAATAACAGCGTTTTTATCGATTACTTAATCCAAGATTCGTTTACACAGTCTGCGCCGAATAGCGGTTTCCAGAGGTGTAATCCTGACCGAGAGAAACGTATAAAAACATCACAAGTTGGATTTCTATATTTAACGTAAATATCGATCGTTGACAAATGATTTATGTTTGATAAACGATGTATTCGATGTCCTAAACACTTCATTGGTCTTGGTCGCAGGGACCTCGATAATGAAGAATATCCTTCGAAATCAACTCCACAGTTGTAAGATTTTTATTTACTAAATTTCTTGGTGGTACCTACAGCGTTACGCAAAGGGCCCTAGAACCTTCTACACAACACCTCAACCTTCTGCACTGAGCCACTCTCTGATATTATACGAAACTACTACCATCTCGATGCCCACCGAACCTGTTGTCTCGAGAGGCAAGGGATTAGAGCCTGATAACTGACAACTAGCCGAGAGAACATGTGTATACAATTATTCCAGGACAGAACACATTTTTACACAACGTTCTCTAGTCCCAAACTAGATAACGCTTTGAAATTTTATATAGTGCTAATCTCTAGAGTTAAGATTAACATTTGTACATTAAACAAATAAATGTTATTGATAAACACCTTGAAACTACAAAAACACTATGTCACGCACAACATACATATACCTCGTATTGGGGATCGAACCTACACACAAAGATTCAAGAGACAGGTAGTAGAGTAGAGTATCACTACATAGTATAAAACAAAGTCGTCTCGCTGTCTGTCTATCCCTATGTATGCTCAGACCTTCAAAACTACGCAACGGATCATGATGCGGTTTTTTTCACTAGATAGAGTGATTCAAGCGGAAGGTTTACATGTATAACAATGCACGTGCGAAGCCGGGGCGGGTCGCTGGTGTATGTATATGGGACGCGACTGGTCAACGCGGTGTACCTATAACGAACAGTGTGCGTTGCGGAGCGAGGATTACCTTGGCAGGGCCCGGGGTAGTCGAGGGCCAAGTGCTTGGCCGGTCGGCGGCACGCGCGTCTTCGGAGGCGGCAGAGCGAGCGGTAGGTGCGCCCGTCGGTGCCGCAGACCGGCCCGGCGCGCCGGCACGCGGCGGCGCACACGCAGCGCGCCCTCCCGCCCCTCAGCACGCACCGCCTGCCCCCGCCGCATGACACCCCAGCGCAGGACTCTGCAAAGGGCCTTAAATATACTCACCATCAGGGACACGTCACAGAACGCTGTTGTTGACCTTAATTGATTTACAAAAGGGAACCTGACAAGCTGGCATGCTGTTCACACTATGGTATGTGATTGCTATTCAAAACAGTACGCAATAAGAACAGTCTACGTAAATAGGAGATGCTGAACCAAAATGCAGTACAGAGAGGCATACAGTAAAAATTGTGTCCGATTACTTTACTTGGAAAAGTATTAATATTTTCACTTCACGTTGGTCTTTTGTAACACCGGTACTACCTTCGAACCCGCGACGTGGTTCCACTGTATAAAAAAGTGCCTTTTGAACCGTTAATCTATTTAATTACATATTGAGTGCTAACCTTCACGGTACTACATATATATAAATCGACTTTATGCTTCGAAGCCTTGTTATATAAACACCAATAAAAATATCGTTTACGATTTTCAGTAAATCTAACGCCCAGATTTTTTTAGGTTTTTTTTTTGCTTTGTTTTTACGTAATGTGTAAAATGTTACTTGGTAGTCAGTCACTCAGCGTTTTAAAACGAAAGTTAATATTTAGAATACAGTGTACGCATTACTTGGGTTTGTGCCTAATTACACTGAGACATTTAGTGCTCGCTGCTAGATACGTTATCGTTATGCATCAATCTTTTCGCTTACGCATAGACAACGTTAAAAATCGTTTCTTGACTTTAGTTTCTCATTTAGAATTCGGTTTATGTAATAAGTTCTTACTTTACCTAGGCCTTTGCTACCTTTTCGTGGTGGTTTAATCGTATACCCTTCGATTTAAGGAGAAACAAAATTTTGTTTTTAAATCTAGTGATAGGGCATCGAATCGCAATCCGATCATACAATTTTCGTATAATAGTTGCTTATTTCTTTCTTACGTGTTAAAGATATCATCATAAAACAAGGCATAAGCGCCCAGAGACAACGTATCATCCTGAGTTTAAGTAACGTAACATTTGGAGTTTAATCACTGCAGGGATTTATATTTTCACCCCACTGGAGATTATGTATGGCTCTAAATGTAATGGTAAATCTGTGAACAAAATTTTAAAATAGATTTTCCAAAAATTACTTCCAATGATACCACAATTCTTTTCCATCTCAAAAAAAACGTATACCAATTCACATGCTGGCGTACTCCGAATTATGTCTTAAGCTTTATCCATAAAAAAAAGTTAAAAACTTCATAACAGCTATGGTTTACCGTGACAAGAAGAAACATGGCGCACTTTTTTAACATTATTAAAATGGCGGTTGAACCTGATTCGGCCGACACCTCTGCTTTTCCTTTCAACATTATTGCTATTGAATAAGGTAATATTTTACTTGACAGCAAAATGGGTAGGCTCGACTATGATAGATGGTATGTAGATTCGCGATTGCTACTCGCCCGTGAATGTGTCTGTATGTTTAAGTGTGGGTGTATTATTCAATTTAATATACACTGCTCAATATATTATCAATGTGGGCTATTTAAAAACTCTTTTGTTACTTAACTGTGCAGTACAAAGCTGTAAGAGTTTAAAGAAAAATTCGTCTAAAGTTGACACAACCCTTGTCTAAAGACAGTTAAACACAACCCTTATCATCCACTAATAGTCAGACCGTACTTTGTAATACACATAATTCTATTCTATTCGGCAATTAGTGTCAGTCAGTAGTTTTATGCTTCCTTTACTCATAAATCGGCGTGAATTAAAACGTTCTTTTTACTGTAAACAACACGTCAACGATAGTAACATCCTACACGTAGAGTTTTATTGCTGTCAGGATTCCCGTTATAGAAAATTTCAGATTGAATTTTTGATAATCTGATCGTAAAAGGATTTGTATTGACGAAAAATCGCTTTTAGACAAAAATCAGATTGAAATTGTAAATACCTACTAATATTTTATACCAAAGGGACTTCAGTGACAACAGTTGTACACTCAAGCGTTAAAGGTGTTAAAATGAAAATGGATTTAAGAACATGAAACTGACTCAGTGGCACAGTTCGGCGCCGTGGGCCGTGGGTTTGAATCTCGATCTGACAAGTGTGTAAACGGCGTTTACGAACGATTAATAAAGATTTTTCTATTCTATAAAGTAAAGTAAAATTTAACATAGATGGCGCCGGCTTTCAAGTAACAATTAGTCTCCTTATAATATTTCGTTTTAAAAATTGTATTTTTGAAAGTATATTTTGTAAATGTTGTAAAATTCAGTGATTTAGGTTGCAACTCATCAGTGAAAGTGTTATCCGTGAAAGTTGTAGTGTGTGTCAGAAATATTTGATGATTTCCTTTGTGGACTGTTTTAGAAACATATTATTACAAGTTAAGTACTTTTGCACAAACACTATAAACCAACGCGTAAGTTAATATTTATATCCGTTAAACTTTTAATGTTTTGATTAGTTTATACTCACAGATAAACGTTTAGTAAATATTATTTTTCAAAAGCCGTTACAAAAATTTAAAAATCTATATCCAAGAAGTAAATGTTGGGATAACGACATCTAGAGGGATCTAGTGAAAACACCAAGTGACTCAGTTTGACGTAGTTTATTATCTAATTGATCGCATCGAATCTCTTTGAGAATACGAGCAGGAGATGGCGCCACCCGTAGTAAATAAAATTTACTGTAGCGGTTGTTCGCAGGAGATCGTTGGCAAACAGTTTTTGAAATGCAATATTTGTTCGAAGCATTATGACCTTTTGTGCACAAGCGTCTCAGAAAAACGATTTTACAATATTATGTCAACTGAAAATAAAAAGAAATGGAAATGTCAGGAATGCATTAGTAAGGAACCGAAGACCGACAATACTAATACACCTATAAAATACGGTTTGCAACAATCTCCCAAAAGCAACGACGAGGAGTCATGTAGTACAAATGTGACTCTTCGTAACCGTACTCATGAAAAGCAGAAAACACAAACAACATCTGTACCACTATCGGATATGGTGACAGCCGAACTGAAGAATGAACTACGGTTATTACGCCAAGATATAAAGGAGATGCGTAATGATATGCAGGATTTCAGGGGTACTATTGAGAGTCTCTTTGTTGCTATTAACTCTTGTACCAAGCGACTAGACTGCCTAGAAGCTAGGATGGAAGGGGTGGAAAAAAACCAGCATATCAAACCGTCTAATGACGTCTCTCTCTTGGAGAACACTATTGCTGATCTGAAAATGGAGATAAATGACCGGGATCAAGAGCTACTGTGTAATGATGTTGAAATCGCTGGTATCCCAGAAGAAAAAAGCGAGCGTTCTATACACCTCGTACTGGCGGTAGCAACAAAGCTGGGCGTAAGTCTTGAGGAACGTGATATTGTCAGCGCAGAGCGTGCGGGTCCATTACGTCGTGAGCCCGCTGATATTAGAAATACCAAGCCACGCCCGATTGTGGCGCGGTTAGCACGACGCACGCATCGGGACTGTCTATTGGCGGCGGCTCGAGTTCGTCGCAACTCCACTACTGCCGGGCTGGGACTCGATTCCGGCACCTGTCCACTTTACCTTAATGAAAGGTTGACAAAATACAACCGCCAGCTGTTTTATAAGGCGCGTTTTGAAGCAAAACGTGTTGGTTGGAAGTACGTGTGGACAAGGGAAGGAAAAGTTTTCGCACGAAAAGATAATGGGGAGCTGCGACATCGGCTGCGGTTCGAAAGCGACCTTGCTAAAGTTTTTGGGCATTAAAATGGTTCGTGCATTGTCATCAACTTTTACTCATTAGCAATAATTTATTTAGTTCAGTTTATGTTTTTTACGAGAATAAAAATAATATAAGTTTCTTTAGATTAAGCAAACCTGCTCTAATTACTCGCCTAATATGCATACTTCGCAAGTTTGAAAAAAGGATTAGAGCATTAGATATAATTTATTCTCTTATGTTAATTATAAATTATTTTATTACAGTAATATATCAAATTGTAGCTCTGTCAATGTTGTTAACGATTGTTATATTTTATTGTTTGTTTTATTTTCTCATTATTTATGTTACAAATATTAGTAATATTAGCGTTAGTAAAAAAATTTATCACTCTTGTTTATCACAAATGTCTATCTATATGTTTTTGAGTTTATGTTCAATTTGTCCAAAACAAATCTACATGCTTGGTTGTTCACAGACAACAAATATAACACTCACTAAGGTACAAATGAGACACTCACACTTTTTATATTGCAAAGTGAACATTTACCTGAAGTTACATTCTGGTTACTGCTTAAGATGGCGTCATGCAACACTATTATGCAAATTTATAGCGCACTGCAAGCACAGTGAAGTGACGTTTGCAACTGTGTATATGTATGTCAAAAATAAGAGATTGTCAATCGGTTTCTTAAATGCTGGGTCCTTGGGAACGCGCCATGATGAATTTCTTGCTGTAGTGTTACGCTTTAATGTAGATATTTTGGCCATTAACGAAACTTGGCTGAAAAAAGGGGAAGAACAGCGTGCCCCATCGCCGCCAGGTTATCGTTTAATACACATCCCACGTTCTCCAAAAATACGAAATCGTGGTGGTGGAGTTGGGTTTTACATAAGTCACGGAATAAATGTACGGAAAATCACTCAACCCGCCAATAACAACGTAGAACAAATGTGGCTTGGTCTAAACATTAACGGTATCAAAGTAGCAATTGGTACTGCGTACCGTCCCCCGTGGCTTAGCGTCGATTTATTTATTGATGCCCTTACAGAATCAGTGTCTTCTTTAGGTAGTTATGACCAAACTGTATTGCTTGGCGATTTTAACATTAATCTTTTACATCCTCAGGATTCAAACACTATAAAGCTAAATAATTTTTTCAGCTACATGAACCTTACACAATTTGTAAACAAATCTACACATTTCACAGAACACAGCGAATCTTTAATAGATATTATATGTGCCACTATGAATGTTTATGAAGTATCCGTGAATTACATTCCTGAGCTTAGTAGCCACGCATTCTTGACCTGTCAATTGAATATTAA